CCCACCCCCGGCTCAGAAGCCTGCGCCTTTGTTCAGGCGCCTGGTCGCTTGCATTAGATGTATGCTGATTGCAAAAGGCCGGGAGAAACCACACTGAAAACCATCGTCTCCTTTCCTTGCAGGGCAACGCGCCCCACGCGTGTGACGTGCGAGAGACGCGATGGACGCGCCTTGCTCTTACTGTGCAGGTCCTGAGAGCGTGTGGGCCAATCGCGCCCAGTCGTGTTGAGGACATAGAATCAGCCGCTGGAGGGGCCGCGGGCCGCGTGGGCCCTTCCCGCTCTCGGTCTCACCTTAAGGGCTAAAGGGACCGAGAAATCCCCATTCTCCAGTAGGTAATGGGGCGGCGCCCGGAGGGCTGCAGGCGGGGAGGAGTCTCAGCGCTGCCTAGGCCCTTTGCTGCCAGCGGCCACCCCGGGGCCTGCTCCCAGAGGGCAAGTGGCCTAGAAATGTCCAGGGAATCAGAAGCTTCCCCCGCCTTTGCCAGGACGAAAACTCTCTCCACCCTCACGCTCCTAAAGGCGAGTGATGGGATAGGAATTCTTACTTGGCTACGCAGGTTCTCTCTGTCGCCCTTCACCTTCATTCGTGCGTTCTTTCCACGCCCCAGCTAAGTGGAGCCCTGGTGCGCGTCTCTCCGCCTCCCAGCGCCCTCCCCGCGTGGAGAGAGCCCGCTGCCCCCTCCCTTCCTCACTTCTCCTTTAATGTACGACCCCCGCCCCCTTGCTTTCGTTAGCCAGGCCCGCTACGTTTATCTGATAATTGAGTTATTAAAAGATTTGGTTTCCTTGGACCCATAAATCAATAAACAGTAGGATTAACGCAAGAGTTTCCCTTTTAAGTCAAGGGAAACGTTTAAAGCAAGCCTTGTGGAGCTTTGTTTTCAAACCAAACAGGTGAGCTGCATGTTTCCCCCCAACCCTACACTCTTTAGACAATTTATTACGCCGCGGCTACATGCTCGGTCCCGAACCAAAATAGCTAAAGTAGAAAGGAGGAGTCAGGACGTGGCGGCAGCGCTACCCTCACACTTTCCATTTTGCAAGTTCCTCTGGAGGTTCTAAAGGTCTCCTGACCATTCTCTGTCCAACACTGCCTCTTCCTACAAGTTCTGTGGGTCTCAGGGGAGATTAAAAATAAAAAAAGGCTATTCTGGGTGCAGATTCCATCTCAAAGTGATCTTTACCTTCTCCCTCCAACCCGGAAGGTCACCACCCTGCCCCAATTATCTTCCGTTTTCTTTCCTTCGCTCTTGCTCCACATCCTTAGCTTTCTCCACCCCCGCATAGAGAACCGAAGAAGCTTTTCAAAGACCTAGCTGTTTTATTTTCTTTGGACAAGGAAACCACTTTCTCTCAAGCAATTATTTCATATCATAAGAAAACTTTGGTAGAATGGAAAACCTGAAACCCCGACCTTACCTACACACCGTTCCTCCGGCACAAAGCCTTACTTAAAAGGGCAACTCGTTCCTACTTGAGCGTTTATAGAGAATTTGTCATCACATCTGATATTCTGTATTCGTAATACATTATATGGAAAGGAAATAACCTTAAACCATCTGATGTTGCCTCAAGAGCCCAGTGTTTCCCTCTTGTGATGATGTATGTTCAAGTATGGGGGAGGGGAGAGAAGAAATATCAAAATTCGTTTTTTCTTTTAAAGGTGGAATGAACGCTGTTCTTTAAATGCCAAAATCGACTCCTCTGTTGAGTTGGTCTCTAATTCACTAACACTGTTTTTGCCACACAATCGAAAAATACCAATCTATTGACTCTTCAGGAGAAGAGCTCTGGAGGGTATCCATGTTGTTTGTATATATTTATTTATGCTTAATTTAACGGGAATGTGTAAATATGGCGAGCAAGTAGTTTGGGATTATTTATCTGTGAATCTATACCTCTGTGAATGGGTGGTAAAACAAAAAACAAAAAAAAACGCTTGACCCTAGGTAGAATCCTATCTGAAATTTTCTGTTCTTTATAGACAAGCTGTTATGGTAATGGGTAGAAATTGGTTTATTGTCCAGTGTTGATCTGATTTACATAAATAAAAAGATGGTTGTGTTTTTGTTGTGTTTTCATCTTCAGTTTCTTGAATATGGATATTGTTTATTTCTACAGACAGGGAAAAAAAAGTATAGCCAAGAAGTTTTTTTCTTTTTGTCCCCCCTCACCGAAACACACAATGTTTTTGTTACATCATAAATACAATAAATTTTGCTTCTCAAAAAAACGGACACTTGTTTTCACTAGGAGGTGTATTTTATTTTTTAAAATTCAAAATTGACGCTCTTCTCACCTATTGCTAATCAGATTTGCAATAAAGGCTCATGTTAATGGTATCTCTTGGTTTTATTTTGCCCTTTTGAAAAATGAGGCATCAACTTTACTTCCCAGGTAACTAACTGAAAGACTCTGTGTCCCAGTAACTAAACGGCTCTGGGTCCAAGTCAAAGATGACGTTCCCCTCCCACAGCTAGTGGGATAGTAGGCTGGACCATGTTCCTTAAAGGAAGGAGGTGGTTCAGGAGAGATGCCCACAAGGCCAGGTATGGGCTGCTGCACCCCAAACCTTGGGGTCTGGAGGAGTTAACTGGGCCATTTTAGGATTAAACCCAACCCTGACTTCACCAGTAGAGAAAGACCCCCCCATAAACAAATGTGGAAAAGCTCCCTTGACCCAGAAGAGGAAAGAGGCATAGCTGTTTTAGGAGGCTGGTTCTTACCTCAGGCTCAGAGGCTGCTTAAAGAAGACGGTGCTTTTCTCATTTGGGTCAATGGGCTGCAGCCCAGTCCTAATGGGCTGCAGTGATCAAACATCATCTCAATCTGTATTTCATCCCAAGGCTTGGGTGTCTTCCCTGAGGCTAAGAAAATAAAGTCATCCAAGATGTTACACAGTTTGGACGAGTCACACGAGTCACTGTTTATCTTTGGACCTCAAGGTCTTTATCTATAAAATGTGGGTCTCCTATGGTCTTTTCCAACATCAACATTGCCTAGTTTAATTATAAAAAGCAGAAGCAGCAATGTGTATATATATATTTGGGGATAATTGGCAAAGTTAAATCTTGATAACTCCAGATTCTGAGAGTACTTAACATATAGTTGGTGCTCAGTTAATTAATGTGCCTCCCAAATCAATTTTGTTTTTCAGGTAATCATTCCCAGTTGGACCTCCCATAGGGAAAGACAGAAGTGACAAAGGAATCTGCTTTATGTGAGATTTTCCACTTCATGCGTCCCTTGTTAAAAAAAAGGGGGGGATATCATGTCCAGAACTATAAATGACTGAATCACAGAAAAGTACCCCCCCCCCACACACACAAAAGGGAAGTAGAAGGAAGGAAAGAAAACCAAGGGAAGTGTGATTAAGAGGGTATGCAATCCATTTATCTAGAAAGAAAATACATGTATGTCTTTGTCTCTGGCTCAACTGTATTACATTGTTTCCTTTTCATTTGCCTGTTGGAGGGAGGGTTTGGTTACCACTGGGACTACACAAAGCGGGTGGTGAGTCATTTCCATATCGTATGGCAAATTCTCCTACAGAAAAGTTAGCTCTGGAGAAACAGATCTATTATTCTATAGGTAAATTATAGACGCCCCTCCCCCATTTCCCATCACCATTTGATAAGGAGAGGATCTGAGACAGTCACCTTTACTAAGTAAAACCCAAGGTTCTGCAGGGCCTGAATGTTGGAAAAGAACTAGAGGAAAGACCTGGAAGGAAAAACTGGAAAGGGAAGGTAAGGGGTAAGAGTCTTGGCTAACAAAACGGCCCAGGGCTGCCTGTCACAGCTCCTTAGCCCCTTTGTTACTATCTTACTAGGCTGGGGGGGGGGGACCTGCTGACCACAGGCCCAGCGCAGGGACCCTAGGTGACCTTGGAGGAGGTGTTGCTGACGTCCCTGCTTGCCTTCAGGCAGCCAACGCGGATGAGCGGTTTACAGTGCCCCAGAAGCCCGCCTGCTCGCCCGCCCGCCCGCCGGTATTAGCGGCTTAAGGGCCCTGATTAAAAATAATGCTAGGAGGAAGACCCGATTATTTTTTTATGAGGCCACATTCTTCGTCTTCATTTGCAAATAACAGCCCCGTGGGGTCCCTCCTCTCTCGGGACCGGGGCAGCCTGAGCTTACAGATGCCAGAGAAATGATGGCCCGATGGGACCTGTCCCTTCTTGAGGGCGCTCTCCACTCCCTGACACAAGCTGCCTTCCACGCTTGGACTTCGAGGGCGGTTGTCTGTCATGTTCAAGCCTCCGAAATGAAACGTGCAGCTCACAAGTCCATTACTTTTAGATTCCCATTAATCTATTTATAAGTGAGCCAGCGCTGGCTCTATAAATACAGTCCTATAAAATTGAACTCCTGCCCATAAATCTTCCGAGTTGTTTATTTACATGTATTCCCTCGCCCTCTAACGAGCCTCGTTTCAACTTAGGGAAGGAAGACCCAGGCAGAGCCGACCCGCGACGGGCCGTGTTAGCCCCTCCCGTTTCCCCGCTGGAATCGTGGGCTCCCGGGGAAGGGAGGAATTGCTCGGCGGGCGGAAAACAGGACAAAAACGCATTTTTTCCTTCTTGACTTTCTTTGTTTCTATCCGAAACTCACGCTCTCCATATTTCCCATCACAAAGCTCCACGTTGATTTATATTGTCATAAACAGCACTCTCGTGACGATAGCTTCTCTCATAGCTTGGGGTGAGCTGCTTTTTCACTTTGCTGGCAGCCACCACTTTTAAATCAGGCCTCATAAATAACCCCGTCGCTTCCTTTGGATGAGGTCAAGCGTCTCCCCGGGTCCACTGTCCCGGCTGGGAGAACCTCCTTGCCCCTCCCCCGGGTCACAGGTTAGCGCACTCCCACCGCCTCGCCCCGGCGTCCCCCGAACGCATCAGAGGAGCAAGTGGAAGCCGGGCATGAGCACGACCTCACTCACACCCGCGCATCGTGCTGCGAGCGCACGTACCACGCGTGCGCCACCCCCGGCGCACGCACACAGCGCTGCTGCCCACGTCTAGGCACGCTCTCCGGGGTGCAGGGCAGGGTGTCAACGGGCGCGCACGCGCGGACGCCCACGCACGCGCACGCACCCGCACGCGCTGCGGCTCCCCGGGGCGTATCTCCAGCCCCAGCGAAGACCCAGGGCGCGGCCCACCCTTTGCTGCTGCAGGGTTTTTGCCGCGCGCTCTGGGGGAGGGGGGGTCAAGGCACAGAGTTTGCAAAAGACTGCCGCGTGGGCAAGCTGTTTATGCTCAGAATGAGGGCGCAGTTTTGATGCACAAGTTCAGCACGTTCTACGCTGGTCAGAAGCTAGCAAGGTCAGGCCTCGACTTTTTGCCCACTTGTTGGAAACCGATTGGTTCCTGCCCACCCTACTTCTTTTCGCTTTCTCTTCCCTCCGCAGGGCTGCACCTTTCTGGAGCTGGACGCAGGCGATAGGCGTCTAAACCCAAGTAGGGGTCACACCTGCTACCGGGAGAGGCCTCTGCATAAAAATGTTCTTAAATTTTTAAGCAGCATAATAGCCAGTGGAGTTAGCAAAGCGTGACTTGCCCCGGCCGCACGGAGGGCAGCTCTGGCAGTCATCTGTGACCCGACTACCAGTTAACGTCCTGGACGTGCCTGCTCCGGGAGATATTAGTAAACATTTCAAGGATGTGGCTGTCAGATGTCATTAGCAAACGCACTGAACTGGGAGGAGGGCATGGCCAGGGCATATATGTAGAATATTTTGGGGAGGTCAGAGTCTGCCTTCTGTATAATTGCCAAATGTCTTGACCTGTATATTTATCAAATGGCTGGAGAAAAGAAGCTGGCGCATGAGCAGTGGGATACAGACGTGGGAAAGGGAGCTTGACTGGGACTGGGCGTGCAGGCCTTTCCCGGATGGAAACTCGGACCCAAATTATACTGCGTAGACTGAGGTGGAGGATCAGAACAACCCAATGAGTTCTAGCGCTCACCGTGTGAACCATTGGGTCCTACGCGCTAGAACCTAACCAAGTCCGTTTGTGCAATTAGAGACAGGCAGCTAGGAAACACCTGATTACAGAAAGGCCCTGTGGCTGTCGAAGTGGGCAAAGTGAGTGCGCCCATAATCAGAGTTTTCAAGGAAATAGGATTTTAGATAGTTTATACACGACAGTGGATTTTGCTGCTAAACTGTGCACCGTTCTAAGTTTGGAAAGGGGCAGGGAGGGTTTGGATTTGTACTAAATGGCTGGGAAAATCCCAGTCAATCCAAAGAAAACGAGCATAAAACCAAACCAAACCTCAGTGCTCCATTAGCCGTTCCCCCTCCCCCCAAAAGTACCAGTGCAATCTGGACCAGGGTGAATTTTGTGTACGTGTTATCCTCCTAGACAGGTGGTTCTACCAGGAAATTAGGTGAGAGATCTTTTTTGGTTGAAGGTTGTAGTTAGGGACACACACACACACACACACACACACACACACACACACACGTAATATATTACATTATGGGAACTCCCCAATACCTGGACTAAACAGAAAGCAACCACAACAAAACAACCTTTACCAATGTGAATTTTCTTTGTCGTGAAATTCCTTGTGTTAAGGAACCAAGAAAAGATTTTCCCCCCCATTTTTTTAGGTATTAGAATTCTTGCTATTCCGATAGAATTCTTTTGGCCAGAGATTCCTAAAGATAGGAAACATCCCAGATTTGAGGCAGAAGCACAGTTTACTCTTTTTATGAGTTGTTTCCCATCCTTCCCTTTTGTCATTTTTTAGGAGGGAAAGGGGCAAAGGCATGAATGAGCCTTATCAACAAAATGGGCCCATTGAATGATTCATTCCCTTTTATGTTCAATCTAAATATTTCTTTCCTCTTCAAAGATAAGGGCCATTCAAGACAATAGGGCCAAATAATTCAAAGAAGGATTAAGCTCATCCGGGTTCCAGTGACCTTTTCCCCCCTTCCTTTAATTCTCAATAGTGAACATCTGTGTTTGGTGGCTAATGTCTGAAAGTAATAGAGACAATTAGAGCTTTTTATTTTTTCTTGGGGGAGAGGGTTTTGGGTGCCAGTTTGGAGTGGTTAA